ACCTTTACTTACCAGTAGAATACTATAGGGAGTGCGGCACAGCATTAACGAGACGGATGTGCGGAAGAGCCAGTTGTACTCTTGGAGCTGATGACATCCCAAGGGCCTACCACCGCACCCTAAACATGGACCGGTAACGTCATTCGATTCTTTCTTATTTCGTTCTGCTTGACTGTATTTGAATTTTCCCTATATTCCATGTCTAGTAGGTAGGTTCTGAGCTTAACGGCTCTGATTTATTTTGCTTTTTTTTTTTGTTAAATATTTAGTTTTCGTCCATTGTTCAATGACTCCCCGGGCTCGGATTTGCCGATTGTTCGTCGAGATTATGAATCTGGTGGGGTCTGATTCCTAGTTTTACCGAGAAATCCGAGTAACCTAATTTCTTCAAGACGGTAATTTTCCCTCTTTTGTCTTGTGGCCTTTATCTGGTTTTCGTGTATAGTTTTATTGAAATGGCAGTTACTGTTGTTGTTACCTGTGGTCTGTAAGCATTTGTGTATGCAGGAGCTATTTCGTAGTTTTGTCTTGGTTTAAGTAATCCAGGGCTTTTGCTTTCAAAAAATGGTAGTCAATCAATAGTTTTGTTTTCTTGCACAATGCAGGGGAGGCTTTCTTGAATTTGTTATCATTGTTTTTGCCGGTGAATTATTTACGCTCTTACCATTCTTACAACTTCATCATCTCCAGCTTTAGAGTGGTTACACGGTCAGTCTTATCTTTTCTTATTGGATTTGAATGTTGATGGGGACATGATGGAACTAAAAATTGTCAATCTCTGATTTGGTTGCAATAATTTTTATTTTATTATAGAAAAGATTAGTAGTGTATTGATGCCAAATTGTACAACGGTGAAATTAATCTGAGGGGATGTTGGATTATAAGGAATTCCTACTAGCCTTGATAGAAAACAGAGGTTACAAGCTTGTCACATCTTATGAAGGGAAGAAGAATCTGGCAAGGAAATACTGGGAGCCGCATACTTGAAGATACATAATAGCTTTCATATGGATCCAATGGACATGAGCCTCTCTTGGTTTTTACCCTTTGGAAAATATGATTAGTAACTTCATTTTCTAAAACATCTGAAAACATTTTTATGTCTTCTTGTGTAGATAAGCTAAAGAATGATAGAAAAATGAACACTCAAATTCCCCGTAACACATCTGTGAAACCTGAGCCATCGGAAAGTCCAGAAGAACACGAAAGAGATGTAAACCTTAGAGCTTCATCTGAAAAATCAAAGGATTGTCTTGCAAAGCGTTCTTCCGTGACTGTATCTCAAATAAAATGGGACCGTGAAGATATCTCATCTGAGTCAAAAAGTGGCATGGATGACTGTAGTAAGATTGGCATTAGTCCAAAGATAAGGAAAAAGGGAAGCTTGAAGACTGGTAATGACAACCAATCAACCCTCTTTCAATACTTTGGGAGAAAATAGATAGGCTTACCTTATCCAGACAGGTAAATTGATTACTCGTACGTCATGACTCATGTTTATATATATATATATATATATATGTTGCTTGCTTAGTTTGTTTATTTGCTATGTTTGTGTTAGGAAGCATGAACCTTCGCAATGGTATGATGTTGTCCACTTTGAGCCTAAGCTCTTATGGCTTTGCTTTTGGTTTTCCCAAAAGACCTCATACCAATGGAGATAGTATTCCTTACTTATAATAAACCCACGATCAACCAATTAATTAGCCGACGTGGGACTCCTCTTCCAACAATCCTCCCCTCAAACAAAATATACCATAAACCCTCCCCTGAGGCCTATGGAGCCCTCGAATAGTCTCCCCTTAATTGAGGCTCGACTTTTTTCCTATAGCCCTCGAACAAAGTACACCCTTTATTCGACACTTGAGTCACTTTTGATCGTGTTAAATGCAGTGTATTTATGTGGTATTAAATCAGCTTCTGTTGCTTAGAAGGTAAAGTTCGATCATGGTTGATCCTTCTGCTTTTCACTGAACTGTACTCTTTCTGATATGTTTTGTAACAAATCTCCTCTTGCTGGTTTTTGCATACTTTTAGTTAGTGAAATTACCCTTTTAGTCTATTTGGTTTCACAGCTGATGGTATAGACAATTACCACTGATCAAATCAAATTATTTTACTTAACTCGGTAAATCCATGCCGAAAATCATTTTGATTTCACTACAGTTCACAGGACAAGAAATTGTACAGATTATACAACAACGTGAAGTTGAGACAAGGAGACCACACCACCCAAATGAAATGCTTCATTCATTAAAGAAGAAGCATATTCATCAGCTAAGAGGGAACAAAGTTGAACGTAGAAACGGCAAAAGCGAGAAATAAGCTTCTATCAACTTCTCATTTGGAGTTAGCTCTATAATCAACCTCTTCAACATCCGAAAAGGCCCGACCATGACTCGTGACCCAAGACAGAACCCTCTCCGTCGATTCCCAAGTCGTATCGTACTGCTTCTTCGTCGTCGCGACCGTCGTCGTGGGCGACACCATCCTATCAACCCAGCTGAGTTCGAGCACATTGGTATGGCCATGGCTTCTCTCTTTAACATTCCCTAATAGTGCTTGATCTAGCTCCAATAATGTGATTTTCTGAATTTGAATTTGAATATCTTCATAATGTGATGTATATATATATAATATATAGATTGCAACAGGCTTGAAGTTAATAATGGTAGTCATAATGGCTGCAATGATAATAATCATTACATTGAGGCTTGATGCTTTGATTCATAAATAAGGATTTATTTTATTGTGATTTCTTTTTTATGGTTGTGATAGTCATGATTAACTTTAGTATATCATAAGGTATGAGCTATGATGAAATCTCAATTATTAAAATTCTGCCTCATATTTTGAGTAAACCACTTTATACATTAGCATCATACACCTAATTACTTTTTGAGTAAGGAAGATTCCAACTTATAAAAATCATCTCCCTAAACAAATCATAGAAGTCTATCTCTATGGTTCATTTCAATTATGTATGGTTTTTAGATGCATGCGTTATGGTAATAGAGTTTAATAATAAAAAAGTAACAAAAATTGTCTGTTTTGGCCGATTACGTATCGTTATCAGTTTCATGATTTTAAAACGAGTTTGGTTTCTATGTTCTTATAAGGAATGTTTCGTTTCTCTCTTCAATCGATGTGGGATTTTATAGATCCAAACTTCAAGTTGAAGTTTAGGAGAGGGGATCTTCTGCTAACTTGTAAATAATTTAGTTGATCAAGAAGTTATTGGCTCAAGACTTGAATATCGGAGTCTCGCCTTCTCACTGGCTCAAAAGGGACTTAGTAGTAATTACAGAAGTAACATGAATTATCGACTTCGTTCTAATTACAAAACAACTTGTAATGATTAAATTATATTCATGTTTTAGCTAATGGAAATTAATTAATTTAGAGGTATCATTGAGGCATATAACCTCAGATAGGTTCATAAAGTCCTCTAGCTGCCTTACAAAATAATCAATGAACCAATTATGATGAAAAAAAAAAAAAGAAGAATAAGATCCCGATTTGATGCCACGTCATCGCTCTAAACAAAAAGACTAAAACACCCCTACTCATGTAGAAGGGCAAATATAGAAAGCAACTAAAACTCTTAAAATAAAATGTCAAGTCATTTGGCATTCACTTTTACTATTATTTTTATTTTAAAATAAATAAATAAATAAATAGAGAATAGAATAGGGGGAAAGTTAAAAACATGAAAAGAAAAATATAATTTTTCATAATAAAAGCATTTAGCTTTTTTATTTTTTTAAAATTAAAATTATCACAATCAAACAATGAGTAAATAAATAGTCCCAATAAACAAGTATAAAAAGCAAAGAAAAAACTTGACTATTTACCGACAAAACTTTGGCTTAAATTAAAATAAAAATTGAACTTAATTTCAATTATTTATTAATAATTGTAAATTTGGATAATCATTGATTTGCTTCTCTCTCTCTCTCTCTCTCTCTCTCTCTCTCTCTCTCTCTACCCCATTTTTTTTAACATTTTCCTATTATATTCAAAATATAAATTTTTCTTTTCAATATATCCAACCTAAAAAGAAATTCTAAATTACATAAATACCCTTCAAGGAAAAGCTAAATTACATAAATATCCTTTAAGAGTTAGATTATTGATTTGAGGATTTAAAAAAAGAGTTCTTATTATAAATCTGTAACAATTTAATCTTTATTATAATAAACAATTTCATCAAATTATTATTTACCGATTTAACATATTAGATCATTAATTAGTTTATCGATCTATTTGATTCACGAGAGCGTTTAAGTGAATATTATCTAAAATTTCTTGATATATGAAAATGACCAAAATACTCTCATACTACTTTCACTTCTCTATGCCCGTGTCGGCGTCAGCTATTATCTACTACTGTCCACCGATATCTCACTGTTAGCAACAATCGTCGTTGACCATTATCAACGACCACCGACAATAGTTGATCAATCATAATATTTTAAATACAAAGTTGGAGTTATTAGTTTATTGTGCTCTATAGCGTGTTCTATCAAAATCAACCATTCTAATATTCATTTAAATTGATTTTTTAGGTATATAAGTACGGTTACATTTTATCTCGTTAAGCTACACTTTGCCGTATATTTAAAACCATAATTTAGCATTTTAATTACACGTGTTGTTAAATAAATAGTGAACGTTCGAATCTCCGTGCCTCACTTTTATTTATTTATTTATTTTTATAAAAAAATTTAAATAATTAAAGTTTAAAGAACATTTGTAGTTGCATTTAAGTTATAAAATATAAATTTTATTAAAAAAAATGAATAAATAAAGCGTAAGGCATCATTATTCTTAGGGTAGTAGGTTAGATATAGAATTTTAATATTAAATATCCTACCTTTTAATAAAGTAAACTCTATTTTAATTAATATAAAATTAATTCATACCAAACGTTTTTTTTTTTTTTTTGTCGAATCGTTATTTTGAATATAGTTCAACTAATATAAAACACGTGACATCTGAGTAAAGAAGGGATACATAAATGAGTCGAAACCACATCCAAATGACGAGGATAAAATGACTAAGACAACAAGGTGCACCTTTCTTTTCAGTGGCTTAATCATAGAACATGTGGTTAAACATGTTTTACTCGGAACAATTTCATATTGGGTGACTTACTCGTGATGGTCTGTAGAGTAAGTAACGTAACCGAGAATTCAAGGTCATTAGGTACCAAATTTTAAAGGGACTAAAATGAAACAAAGTTGAAAGAACATAACAACTCGGGATGAGGTGAAGATGAGTTATATATATATATATATATATGGTTTCCCATCCTCATTGTTTCATCCCGAACATTCTCGAGCTTAATTAGTAATAATAACGATCGATCAAGAAGAGGGGTTGGATCTGTTAGCAGGGTATTTGAGAGCATTGAGCTGGATCTTCCTTAGGGCAGCTTTGGAAAGATCAACGCCACACATATCAGAGAGCCTCACCAAATACAAAAGCACGTCGGAAAGCTCTTCTCCTAAGTGCTCCTTCTCCTCCGCCGCCCACTCCGGCAGCCCCTTCCCCACCTCTCCTTTCCATTGGAATATCTCCGATAATTCTCCCACTTCTCTCACCTGCCCATAACCGCTAGCCGATATTATCCATTTTAATTTTTTTTTTTTAATACGCGTCTATTAGGGAGAAGGTTTCCACACTCTTATAAAGAATGCTTCGTTTCTCAGAACGGGAGAGATCCCACGTTTATTTGGGAGGCGAGTGAAAACCTCGTCCTACTAATCGCGTTTTAAAATCGTGAGATTGACGGTAATACATAACCAGCCAAAGTGGATAATATACCTGCTAGTAGTGAGCTTGAGCTATTACAAAATATATTCACAAAAATTAAATTATATCGATTAACACATAAATTATTTTTTTTAATGTCGGAGAACCAAATAAATTGATTAAATTATAAATTTAGTCTCTTTAGTTCAAGACTGATTCTCGAGTCAGAAGGACGAGAATTTGTTGAACGATAAAGATGAAACCCTAATTTTCAAAATGATACGAGCTAAATTGTAACTTTTTCGAGTGATGAGATCGAATTACGAAGAACTCGGGATCGAGAACGGAAACGAAAGGAGAAAGAAGAAGAAGATACCAGAGCAAGAAGGAGATTTCTTGGGCTATGAAAGCGATCCCAATTCCTTTCCTCTGCAAATTCCGCCATTTTTAACCTCAGAAGCTCCAAGCTCACACTTCCTTCCTCTTCAGCTCTTCCACCCATTATCTCTCTCCTATGCTCTCTCTCTATCTCTCTCTCTCTCTCTCTTATATAATATCATGCAATCCCCAGAAGAAGAAAATTTTGTTTTCTCGTTTACCGGCTATTGCCGGTTTACTATCTTTAGCGGTGTAGGTAGAAACGACAGTTGGTGTGGTCGATAACGACGTTACAGTCAACTGCCACGTGCCGGTTCTCATGGATTCCCGCCTGGATTTTTGCTATTTTCTTTTTTTGTTATTAATTATAATGAAATTACAAAATTTTAAATTTAGTTCACGAGGCTTTAAAAATGTATTTTAAGTCTTTGAAATTTTTATTTTTTAAAAATAATAAATTTTAATTTAATGTTTTTTCTTGATGAATTTTAAAATAATGCTTCAATTCTAGTGAATAAGTGAACTGATAATGTGAACTATTGATTAAACGATGAATCTTTACACTATCTGAGTTTTAGCCAAATCGAGATGTACTTGTGAGATGAAACAGTGACATTTCTACATTTCTTAGTTGGCATACTGTTCGATATCTAGCTCTGATACCATTTGTAATACCACTAGCTCATCGCTGATACATATTATTCGTTTTAGTCTATTATGTATTGCTATCAGGCTCACTATTTTAAAACGCGCGAGTGAATGTGCATAAAAAAAATTGGACAAACCGACAAAAAAATCTTTGAAAATTTTGTGGGATTCAGCTGAAATTCCGTTTGTGATTCCCTAAACTCTCCTTAATTTCGTAGAAAGGAGACATAAAAGTCATAACTTTGGTTGGAAGATCACATTTATCAATGTTCTTCGTAATAAATGAGAGTGAATTCACGAGGACATTCCATTTTCGTTAAATTACCAATATACCCCTTCGTAATGACCTGACTTTTTCATGTCCATTATTACATGCATGATAACTATGACGTCTAAATAAATGAGATGTACATAAATAAACCGAGATCACATTCAAATGAGAGTGATTCTGAGAATAAAATGATTAAGAAAAACTTAAAAGAATTACCAATATACCCCTTTGTAATAACCCGACTTTTAGACTTTTTCATGCCCATTATTACATGCACGATAACTGTGACGCCCAAGTAAATGAGAGGTACATGAATAAACCGATATCACATTCAAATGCGAGTGATCTTGAGAATAAAATAACTAAGAAAGATTTAAAAGAATTGAAAGTCACTGTCTATACCAACAAAATACACCGTTCTTTTCAGTGGTTCAATCATTGGAATTTCATAGTTAAACGTGTTTTACTTAGAACAATTCTATGTTGGACGATCTCCTAAGAATTTTCATATAATGCATGTGAGCGAGAACAAAACAGGTGCATACGATAATAAATTAGCTTCAAATATTAAAATATTAAAATGCTAAAAAATATATAGAAAATCTCAAAACCATATAGTAAACTCCCAATACATTTAATTAAAAGTATATATTATGTATTCATATTGACATTGTCAAAGATTTTGGGACATTTGATCAATATTTCTTTCACACTTATATATAAAACAAAAGGTTTTTATTTAATTAATTAGTCATTTTTTATTAATATATTATATTAATAATTAGTGCAAATTGACGTCTTATTATTTTAAGGGATAAAAGATCACAATCTTAATGCAAATATCTTGTACAAAATCAAAATTTTATTTATTTTTATATTATTAATATAATTTATATTGAATTTAATATAACTAATTAATTATTTTATTTAGTAATGACGACACTGCCCTCAATAATTTATGATAAATTAAAAAATAAAATCAAATATGTCACGACTTGTCATTTTATACTTAATAAATTGGCCGTTGAAATATACAGATTTGATAAAATTATTATAAAATATCTAAAAATAATTTTTTTAATATAAATTTTAGGATTTTGTATACAAAATATTTTTAATAGGTTTGTTAGTTAATTAATTATTATTATTATTATTATTATAAAACAAACATTCCTTCAACTAAGGAAAAAAAAAAAGAAATATACAGATTTGATAAAATTATTATAAAATATCTAAAAATAATTTTTTTAATATAAATTTTAGGATTTTGTATACAAAATATTTTTAATATGTTTGTTAGTTAATTAATTATTATTATTATTATTATTATAAAACAAACATTCCTTCAACTAAGAAAAAAAAAAAAAAAAAACATCTAAATTTTCATATTTGGGTGTAGAAAAAGATTTTGAGACCAAATACATACCATTGGATTAAAAGCATCTTTACTTTTTCCGTAAAAGCATAACCGCCCTCCTTATGTGTTACCGTCAACTTCATGGTTTTAAAAAACGTGTCTATTAGAGAGAGGTTTCTACACTCTTATAAAGAGTATTTCGTTCCACTCTCCAACCGATGTGGGATCTCACAACCCACTTCCCTTAGGGGTCAGTGTCCTCGCACTGCCTGGTCTGACTTTGATACCATTTTCAACACTCCAAGCTTACCGTTAGCAGATATTGTCCGTTTTAACCCGTTACGTATCACCGTCACCTTCACGATTTTAAAATGTGTCTCTTAGGGAGAGGTTTTCACACTCTTATAAGGAGTGTTTCGTTCCACTCTTCAACCAGTGTGGGATCTCACAAAAAGAACATCTACTTTTTAAGCTCCCATGATTGAATCACCGAGACTAAAGATGCATCTGTATAACTATCAATTCTCTTAAACTTTTTTTTGAACATAACTTCATATTTTCAAGATTACTCTCATTCGAATATAGTCTCTTTCATTCACGTATCCGTGATCTATCATTTCAAATTAACAATACAATAACAACATGTGTTTGGATCGAATCTAATCACTCTTTTAACCTACACATTTTACGAGTCCCACCGAAGAAAAAACGTCAACTTTGAAAAAAAAAAATAAAAACTTCCTTCAACATTTAAGACAGGGAGACAAAACATTATCAGCAGACAAAAAGTAGAGGTTCTTTCATGTTTTTCTTGCGACCAATACGAAAATAGAATTAAAAGCAGCTAATTAAGAATCTTTTCTTAGTTTGACAAATAATGTTTTGGATGCTTTTGGAAGCTACTTCTCTTTGTCGGCTTGCACCAGCTGCCTATCTTAGCTTATACTTGTTAAGCTATACACAATAACTCAAAGTTAACTCGGGTTTGCTCGGGTTATTTTGGAAACCTTCTCGAAGATGCTCGCTTCATGTATTAGAAAAGTCCATGTATGAACAAGGATTGGGGCTGGATGGAAAATTTATAGATACTTTTTTGTTCGGATATAAATGCTATAACGTAAAATTTAAGCTCTCGGAGTTCAAGTCTATACATTATTTTCTGTCATATGACTCCATCTCGACATCTGGACATTTTTTATGTTTCTTAAACCTGTCTCGTAATCAATTTTGATTATATGAAAATAACATTTTAAAATATATAATCTAACTTCATGAGTCGAGCTAAAAAATCGTTACATATTTGTCAAGTTTATTTTCTCTCAGACTCCATACTTATAATTATAAGCCTGATTTTTAAAAATCAAGTAGTTATAAAACGAAATGTAAATACCAAATAACACGTAATTTAATTTCTAAATTTTTTTTATATGAACATTTAAAATATTTTATTAGATTATATTTTGTATATTTGATAAAATAGTTGGGTTTAGGGCTGAAGTGTAGGCTTGAAAGACAAGGCCTAGTTGGTTGAAGCTCAAGAACTCCAATTTGGGCCACTTAATGAACTCAATCAACCAACCGGTCTGGGAGAGAGGGGTTTCAAAATGAATGCTTCGTTCCCATCTCCAACCAATGTTGGATCTCACAATCCACTCTTCTTGGAGGTCGTGTCCTCGCTGACACACCGCTCAGTGTTTGGCTTTGGTACCATTTGTAACTGTCGAAGCCCACCGCTAGCAAACATTGTCCGTTTTGGCCCGTTACGTATCATCGTCAAACTCACGATCTTAAAACGTGTATGTTAGGAAAAAGTTTCCACAGCTATAAAAAATGATTGGTTCTTCTCTTCTATCGATATGAAATCTCACATCTTTACTATTGCTTCTTATAACGAAACGTCGCGTAATTATTTCGCAAATTAATTGTGTAGTTTGAAGATTTGTGAGTCTACTAGTTAGGTGACAACGATGTTGCTTCCACCTACGGTGTTCCAATGGTATTGAAATTAAAGAAGCATAATAAAGTACAAAGAAATAGTAAATCGAAGGTGTCCCAAGTTTGCGTGGCAACTTCTTACACAACGCTAGGAGCCAGGAACTAAGGATTCATCGTGGGCTCTTCCCTTTTTGCATAATTCATGCCATGTTGTAGATAGCGATTTGGTTTGATTTTCAAACTCGGTTTTAGCACTTGATGGTCAGACATTTCTCTGCATCCTCTACGACATGATCATGTAACCTACTCCTCGTTTCATTATCCCCATAAACAAACATGAGTCATTCCAGCATGGTTTATTCTTACTCACAAGTTGTGAGATCCCACCTCGGTTGGAGAGGGGAATGAAACATTCCTTACAATGATGTGGGGACTTCTCCCTAACAGACATCACACATCGGGTGGAGAAGAAAAACCCAGAAGGGAAAGCCCAAAAAAGACAATATCTGCTGGCGGTGGGCTTGGTGCGAGACACTGACCGGAGTAGGGTTAGACTCTCTCGTAGACGCGTTTTAAAACTGTGAGACTAACAACAATACATAGCAGGCCAAAATGGACAATATCTACTAGCGGTGGGCTTGTGTTGTTACAAATGGTATCAGAACTAGTCATCAGATGATGCGAGACACTGGTCAGAGTAGGGTTAGACCCTCTTCATAGTAGACGCATTTTAAAACCGTGAGACTAACAACAATACGTAACAGGCAAAAGTGGACAATATCAGCTAGCGGTGAGCTTGGGTTATTACGCATGCATCCCAGGAAAACTCGAAGAGGTCATCCAGCATAGAATTACTGTAATATTAAGCTAAAATCTTACCGAGATGTATTATAATCAGGACATAGATGGACACGAGGAGGATAATGATG